CAACGAGGCCGGACACGTTGGTGGTTGACCTCACCTCCACCTGTGACGTCAATTGACATGCGATGGACTCTGGCGAGGAAGACTAGGTGGGACACGGACGTGCCTACGGCCGGCACAGAGTAGACTAGGGCAAGCCACTTTTGCTATGTAAAAAAGAAGTCATAATTAACAAAACGGGCGTGTTTGCTTTTATTTTTGATGCATCGGATCGCATAGTCGGCGTCGCTAGCGTGCCACGGACCGTTCGGATGCGTTCGCAAACGTTTTGGATGTCTGGTATGATGGGCGGGGTTAGAGATATCCTAACCTTGCGTTGGCAGAACCTGGAAGGCTAGAAAAGCAAAGATACGCTTTGATTGAGTTGCCTGTAGGTACCATGGTTGCTTCTAATCAGAAGCGCTCACACGTACACACTTGCATGCATGAACAGTGATCTGTGGTCTCTCTAGTCTGTACTACTAGGAACTATCAAATGCAACTTTTTTCTGTCACTATCATGCATGCATGAGATTATTGCTGCGTCCACTGCCCTGACGATTTTATTAATTAGCTTTCTGAAATCTGCTTAGATCACATGTTGACAGAGGTGTTACATATGTCGAGGGGGACTTTGTTGAATGATCCATCTTTTCCCTGGGAAGAAGAGAAATATGGAGCGTTGTGTAGTTGAATCAAAGTGAATGTCGGATCACAAGACGCGGAACCACAGGAGCATGCATGCATGCATGTTGATGCATGGTCCCTTTTCGCCAATCCTTTTATCCAGGGGACGATAGTAGGTCGATAATTGAATCTAAGACTTTTGAACTACACCATTTTGCTATCCTCTGAAGACAAACTAAGAGGGTACTTGGATCCAAAGAACTTAATTTAGTCTGACTAAAAATAGTCTCTTTAAGAGGCTAAAGTTCCAAGCACCCCTGACTAAAGAGGGGCTAAAACTAGTCTTGAGACTAAAATATTTTAGTCAGGGGTACACCTACTAAAATGTGGATTAGGCATCTCTCTCCTCATTTAACTCCTCTCCTTTAACACAGGCGAGTTCTGGATTGGAGGATTTGGAGGATAATAAATGCTCATTAACTTAATTTTAGTCTCTTTAGTATTTGGATCCAAGCATGGGTGAGGCTAGCAAGTATTAGTCTCACTACTTTTAGTCATGAGACTAAAACGTATCCAAGCACCCTCTGACCCTCATCAAATCAGTCTTCACAAGCATGCCAACTTTTTTTATGTGTACCCTTTGGATACCCAAAACAGTTGTCAAGCAGATCAATACATATCTTATGAACTGTTTCTGGAGGAAATTTGATACCCATGAAAGAGGATCAATATTGGTTTCATGGAAGAAAGTTTGTATACTCAAATCCCATGGTGGATTGGGAGTCCTAGGTAGATATCCATATACATAATCAGGCTTTACTTGTGAAATTCATGCATAAGTTCTTTAATAAGGCTGACACACCTTGGGTTAAGATTATTTGGGAAACATACTACCAAGATAGCCTACTAGGTGACAAGAGGATGGGTTCATTCTGGTGGAGAGGTATTCTAAAAACTTTGCCTGCCTTCAAGCTTAATGCCATATGCAAACCAGTAAAGGGAGACACCACTCTGCTTTGGCATGACAATTGGTCCGATATGCCTCTGCAACAAAAGCTGTCTGAACTTTTCTCCTTGGCCATCAACAAAGAAATCACCCCGAGACAGATTCATGAGCAACAGGAGCTAGAGGTTTGTTTTCACAGGCCACTCTCCCAGCAAGCATTCAATCAATTCAACCTCCTACAAGACCAACTTCATAGTACTATGCACACTGAAGAGCCAGATCAGTGGGGATATTCTGGGCATCCACCAAATTCTCATCAATGAAGATGTACAAAAACCTCATTGACAAGACTGAAGCTCACACCATCTTCACGCAGATATGGAAATCCAACTGCAGACTCAGACACAAGATTTTCTTTTGGATGCTACTATATGACAGAGTTAGCACAAGGAACCTGCTTCACAGAAGAAAGATGTATCTACCTGATAACAACTGTGCGCTATGTTCAGATGCAACTCCCAAGAAACATTGATTCATCTCTTCTAGAACTGCCACTTTGCACTAAGCTATTGGAACTGCATATTCCCCGACAGACAGAGAGGTATTTCCACTTATGATAAGATTTTGCTGACCATCACAGGGTTACCTAAGGACATTGCAATGGAGATCAATATCATGAGCTGTTGGGGTATATGGATGGTTAAGAATGATAAGATATTTAGAGCTGCGCCACCCAATGTGAACACCTGGAAATTCTACCTACAGGAAGGGTTGCAACACATCATTCTCAGGTCAAAGCAAGCTAAGGGCGACAAGATAGATAAGTGGATTGAACAGTTCCTGTAATTTTATGATTATGTTGCCTAGAGCTGGTATTGGGTGATTCACCCCATGTATTATTTTTTTGTACATAATTTTATATTAATGAAAATACCGTAGAACAATTGTTCTACGGTCACAGGGTCAAAAAAAACTTTGCTGGAAAAATTATCGAAAAGAACCATGAAACAAGCGTGCCCCCAGCCTGCAAAATCACATGGATGGGGACGATCAATTTGCACTTGTTCTTAGACAAAAAAGACAATTCCCTGAAGAAATCGAGAAATAATTGGAGGGTAGGGATGCTAAGAAATGTTACCCGCTTATTCAACGAATGATTGAAGGGGGGGAGTATGAAGCTGCAAAGTACATAAAGAAAAATTGTTTACGGTACCACTCACCTGAAAATTTGAAGACATATATTTTATACTCCCTCTAGCCCAAACTAAATGTTTGGGACGGAGGGAGTATATGTCACGGAACAAGTGCTCCTTGGGGATGACAAAGTAGCTTTGATTCAACTGAACTCATACCAGCATTGACATGCAATGTTGGCCACAAGCTTATATATAGGTCGTGGTGAGACTCAATAAATAAATTAACTAAGCAACCAAAATTACTCTAGGTTTAAGACAACGATAATAAATGTTTTGTGAATGTAGGGCGAGCCAAGCCCTAACAGCCATTCCATCTACTCCCCCTCTCGCCACCACTAGGATGTGTCGTCGTGCAAAGCCCGTACTGATGGAGTCCTGGATTAGGGGGTTCTCTGTGCCGGTTACTGGTCCTTTGGGCTGGGCCAAGAACCCC